TGAAATGAAGTGGCAATACCCGATGTTGGAAAGGCTGCACAGCAATTGGAGCCCTTTCACGTTGCTGCTGGTGGAAAGCAAAGCGCAGCCAACCTGGAAAACAGTGACAGTTTCCTATTTAATTTACCGTATGACTCAATAATCCCATTCCTAGGTGTTTACCCAAGAGAAATGAGGTCACATGTTCACATCAGAACCTGTACATGCATGTTTATAGTGGTTTTAATAATTCACGATTCCTCCAAAGTGGTAACAATGTAGATGTCCTTCACCTCAAAAATGGATAAACAGACTGGAGTACATCCATCCGATGAAAGAGTCCACAGTGAAAGGAATGGACTCCTGATAACAGCAGCACAGATGAGCTGCAAATGTTACGTCCCGTGAAAGAAGCCAGACTCCAAAAACTACGTGCTGTGCTGTATGGTTCCATTTATGTGACAAGCAGAAAAGCAAAACCATAGGATAGAAAACAGATCAGTCGTCACCAAGAGCTGAGTGTAGGAAAGGGGTCTGACTATAAAGGGGCACAAGGGAATTTGGGGGTGGGGGGGTGGAACTGTTCCATATCTCGATTGTAGTGGTAGTTACTCATCTCTACCTGTTGGTTACCTATAGTCACTGTTTTCTTAGACATCTTTAAGTTTCTCTATATGAGTATCATCATATGTTCTCATTTTCACTGTTTTCTAACCCAGAAAACAGTTCGTGAGCATAATTTTCTCTACCGGTTCCTTCTCTGTACCATACGAGTGACAGTCCTTTTCGTATCAGTGCCTTGAGACCTTCCATTCTTTTCTGCAGCCACATGACAAGAACGTTGCCGTGTGAGTGCATGTAATGTGTTTATCCACCTCTCCTTTGATGGACCCAGATTTTTTCCCATTATACACAGGGCTGCAGTGAGTCGCCTTGTACACTCAGTGCTGTTGTAACTCCTGTGTAGAAAACACAGACTTATTCCAGTGCAGTTGATACATCAGGGGACAGCCGGAGCAGAACGTGAATTCTGAGTTTGCTCGGTGAATTCTGCGTTTGCTCGTGCGATTTCATCCCTGAGCAACACTAGGTGAGCACAGGAAACCATGGGATGGAGTCTTGCAGGAATAAACAAAACGTGTATGCACACCTCAGACTTCCGCCTGCCGCCCCCTCCCCTTGTATTCAGCACACGGTCTACACCTGGTGTTACCGCTTCCCTCCGGCCCTCCGGTTTCAGATCACCCTCCTTCCACCTCCTCATAAAAACTCAGCAAGCCACAACCCCCTGACGCCCCACTTCCACAAGCAAACTGCAGGTCTTTTTCAAGGTCAAGTGCCTTTTTTTTTTGGCAGTATCTTTGTATTTCTTAACCATTAAACTTGTATCAAACCATGCTACTGTTTCACTAAGTGTGCCACTGACAAGAGTTTTTGACCATCATGCCCTGAGCTCACTTTTTGGTGGAAGTCTCCTTACTCTAGCTCTTATGGTCTGACTGGGCTCAGGGCCATGATTCTTAGCACAGTTTATATGTAAGTCTTGCCGTAGGACTGTACCCGGTATGGGCATATCTGTAGAATAGAGTCCCACCTGGAAGGGCCAGAGTTTAGGAGTTAAATTCTGAGGGATTGCCACTGCGATACATTTGAATTATATAGCTGGTTTGGTTTTTCCTTGTTCATAAAAAATGTTACGATGGCTGAAGAGTGTGTGTCAGCGTGGTTTGGGAATAACTCAGCTCCCTTGAATCTTAAATCTGTGGGTATCTGGATGTGTGGTGGTCATTAGGAGGATTGGCTGGTGCAAGGCAGTGCCTCATGGAGGCAGGAATCCAGGGAAAGGTGACTGGATGTCTCGCCAGAGAGATGTGTAAAGATGTGACTTCCTTCCTATCACTTCCTCAGAGTCACCTGACACAGAAAGGCCTTCAAGCTGAGAGACAAGAAGGGACGAGTTATCAGTATGAGACATGTCTGACTGCGACAGGGCTAATGGCAACGGAAGACACGTTCACCAAGTGCCATTTGAAAACTGTGGGTTTCAAAGGCATTTTAAATCCCAGCGCTCAGATCTTGAGACCCGGGGTAGGGCATTCAGAGCAAAGGAATTTGCTAAGAGGACCTAATGCTTTCTTTCCTCAAGTATGTGAAGATAAAAGAGTCAAAAATTGGAGATTAGGGAGGACGCCTAAGAGGTGTACCCAAGGATGTGTTTGATATTTTACTGCTGTCAAGTTTTATAAACATTTTCAGACCCTGCCAGCTTATGATTAGTTCCCTATTTCTTCAAAGAATTCTATGTAAAAACAAACAAAACAACTAGTAATTGAGTGGGAAAACATGTTTCTTTTCCGATTTTAACCATAGAAAGTCAACTCAAGGCCAAGGTTCCCTCAGTATCAGCTTACATTACATTGGAGCCAGAGGAAGTAAATGACCTTAAAAGTTTTGAAAACAGACCACAATAGACTTTCCACTTTCTTCATATTTTTTCCATTTTTGTTTGATGAAAAATGCTTTCTGTGTCATAAAGTAGCAGTGTGAACTATTATAATATTGAAGCTATAGTTATGAAATAAATTAGGTAAATCACCTTTAAATAAGTTACTGTTTAAATTTTAACAAAGAAAAAAGTAATTTGTTTTGTTAGGTACTGTGAACACGGCAGGTTTGATTTGGAAACTGGTGTTTAAACCTGTAATTTTCTTGTCACTGGTGATTTTCAAACCCTGCTCCATTGTTTTGGGCTTGCATAGTTCATTTCTGCATTTTTTCATAAAGGTGTTGAAAAGAAGCATATCTCACATGTTGTCAACTCTTTTTGAAAATAGTAATTATTGATTCAGCTAAGCTGCTCTTGATTTAATTTATTATCTACTGAGGATTTCTTTATTGAATTTCTCTATTAAAATTTTAGTTTGCTATGACTGTAACTACACCGTAACAAGAAATGGAATATTAAACACTTCACCTAAATAGAAAATGCAGGTTACATTTCTCTGAGGCCTTTGTAAGGGCAGAAAAATAGATTTCAGTTCTCTACAGCCTTAAGGATTCTTTGCTGCAACTGTCTTGTTTTAGAAAGACTTCTAGTGTTTTGACTCTTCCAGGTGATCTTAACGTCCATTTTATATGTACAAAGTTCAGAAGGAATTAGATATTAGTAGATATTTAAATACTTTTGTAGAAACATAGTAGAAACTGTTCATGACGGTTCTTTACTTAAAGCTCTGTTCTAAATGTAACCTCTTGTTCCTTCTCAGGCTACATAGTTGCTAACCTAAGAGACTAGGGATTACTAATGGTCTACTTTGTATGATCACAGATTTTTATGAAGGAATACCTTTGGGAGAAGGGACAGCTTGTCTCAGAGGCACCAGCTGCTTGTTTGCTTTGTTCTCCTCTCTCTCTCCCTCTCTGCCTCCCTCCCTTCCCCACCTTCCCTCTCTCCCTCTCTCTCTCTCCCTCTCTCTCTCTCTCTCTCTCTCTCTCTCTCTCTCTCTCAATAAAAGCAGTGGTCCGACTTTCATCTTTAACATGGAGAAGAAATGTCCTCCATCACCTCTGTCTGGGTTCAAGACCCTTTTAAACACCGGCCATACCGATTGGCTTTATGTCATAGACAATATTGCCCATTCTTTTAAAATGAAATTTGGATATGTCACTTTACTATTTTTACAATTTACTATTATTAATAAAAGGACATTTATTGAGAATTTCTGTGTGTCCCAAGCTCTATGCTGACCCTTTAATTCCCCCCCGAGGAAGGCACCAGTGCGGGCCCTGCCTTGCAGCCAGCGAGTGGATGTTTCTGCAGGTTGGGACACATTCTTCAGATTTAATGATTCGTGAGTGGCAGAGACAAGGTGCCAACCCATCTCAGACTCCAGAGCCAAACTCTCAGCCACTTAAATAGAATTGCTTACCAGTTTGCATAGGCCGTGTTTGTCAGGGGATTAGTGTAAAAGTACTATGAAGATACATTTATCATTTCTTTATCACTTAGCTCACAGTTGCTTATTGCCAAAAATAGTAATGTTATTTGAAAGAACTTACTCCCATGAGCACTTATTCCCACTTCAGCCTTATTTTTAATGAGGATTGAGCCAAATTTTGTTGCATTCCTGAGGCTGAGAGTTTTTTTCTTGATTTAATTTCCTTGTGACATTGTTTCATTGCAGGCTGTAATGCATGTTATACCCTAAGAATTTGTTTTAAAGTTAAGCCGCTGATTTTACTTCAACTGTTTCATGTGGGAATATGTTAATGTAACATAATTATATTGTAGCCAAAGTGGGAAACATATAATTTTGATTATTATATCTCTTGATTGCTTTCTTTTGTTCTTACTCCCTCCCCCCATATGCATGCATTATATAATTATACCAACAGGCAATCGCCATAAAGTGGTTTCAAACTTGTGTTCTTGAGATAACCAAATGGTATTATTTAAAACAAAAGGCCTTCTAGAAAACTCTCCTTTATATAAGGAATGATTACTTAATCATTAAGTGGGGAAAAGTGAAGATGTTTAAAATTAACCAGAGATTTAATTTTAAAATGACACATTGGATAAGGTGACATAGTCTTTCTGGATATAACAAATTAAGGAATGGCTTTATTTGGCATTTACTGAAGAATTATGTTTTCATATATGACCTGCTTCTTAAAAATAGCATCTATTAAATCTTTTGCAAAGTAAATCTATGTCATGTTTTCTCCTTATTTTAAATATCTGGATGTTTGTGTTGCTTCAAAGCATAAGTGTTTTTGAGAAATAAATACAAGGTTTTACTTTATGATAAAGTTTATCCCTTTCTCTAGAAATTAGCCTCTTCATGGGTACCCCAGCCCTGCCTTCCCTTTTTATTCCAGCTTTAAAAAGAATCTTCTAGTTTTGCTACTAGTTTTGCTAAATAATTATGAGCATTTAAACTCTTAGGAAAGAGTTCTTGATTTTTACAGCATTTTCTGTTTTTGTTTTCTTAAGTGACTTACTTTCTCTTCTCCTAATAAAGCAAATGAAAAAACACCCCTGCCGCCAGTGTGACAAGTCCTTCAGCTCATCGCACAGCCTGTGCCGACACAACCGGATCAAGCACAAAGGCATCAGGAAAGTGTATACCTGCTCGTAAGTTACGATTTCTCATGTGGGAAACACAGTGAAAGGATGAAGCTGCAGCTTCACCAAGGTTTTTCATGTTTTACCATTTCCCATTCCCCGTGCCCTTTTCCACAGTGTATAGACTTCATTCCTCACTTATATTCTGTCGTTTTGACATACAGCTTCTTGGTTGGGTTGTAACACTTAAAAATAGCAAACCAGAAAGGAGCAGTTTCTCGCATGCCCTGTGTAGGTTCCTGTGCTCTTATCTGTTTTCCGGAGGGATATATGTTTTGTTAGTGAGGATTTGGGAGGAGTGATGGATTGGCACGCACAGGGTTGAATCAGCGGATTTTCGCTGTGTGTAGACACAGTGCATTGCCAGCGTGGGCGAGCTGATCCGTCTGGCTGAATTACTGAGTGGTTCAAAGCAGGCCCTGATGGGTCCTGTCATGGAGCGGGTCCTAGGCTGGGTCGCTTGTCCTGTGGCTGCAGTTCACACAGCGCAGCCTTCTCTGGGCCCACACTCTTAGCTAAGAGACCAAATGCGTGGGACCAAGCGGGCCAACACAGCGAGTGGACGTTGCAACTCAGCATGGTCGTGAGCCACTTCTTGGTACGTGAAGATCAGAACTTGTTATGAGTGAAAAAAAAGCCTTTATCACCCACTCCACCAGTACACGCCTCAAGTGAGTTGATGTAACAGGGCTGCTTACTTGAAGTTACTTTAAGGCACTTCTCATAAAGGAGAACTAGAGCACGCAGAAGCCTCGTAGCCAGTGTGTAGCGCGTTGGGAGCCTGTGGCTCTGGCTGTCAGATCAGCGGGGCTTTGCTGTGTCCTGGTTAGTTAGGGAAAGCTTCTCGGGCAGGAAAACGGGCGTAGCCCCTCCTTCAGTGCGACTAGGCTAAAGACGATTTGGGTGAGATGAAGACGTTCTGTAAATAAAGTCAATGTGCTGAGATTGAAAGAATCGGGGACACTGGAAGGAAGGCCTAGGCAGGGGAGAAGATGAAAAGGAAGGCTGGCGTGGCCAAGTCCTTCAAATGACAGGCTTTGTTTAGTTCCCACCAAGTCACAGTCAGGTGTAAAATGCTGGGGCTGTCCGGCGAATTTCACGTGCTCCTTGGTGTTGGTGCTGGCCCCCCGCACTGTTCCGGTAGACGGGCTCTTAACATGAAATCACCAGGGTTTGGGGCCAGCCATTCTAAATTCCTCAGAGGCCTTTGTGAAGGCAGCACATTTGGCCTGCCTGTGACCCTGAGGTGCTGTTGATTCCCCTTCCCTGCACTGGTATTTTTGATGTCTGGCTTATAGATAACATCCATAATCATCATGGTCATTAACTTTTTTTTTTTAATCTGTTTTTGGCCTGTGATTTATTAAGAAAATAGTAAATTCATGTCTTCCAAAGAAAAACTATACTCATAATCTATAGTCCCCCATCCCCTGCCCCCAACAAGATAAAATGAAAACTTCAATAGCTGACCCATTTGGGGTGTCTCTTCAGTTTTCTGCATTTGAGTCTCTGAATGGGCACATGTATTGTAGTGCCCGGATCCTAACCATCCACGTGGCATTTGTGCCTCGATGAGGGACCTGACCGGGCGAGACGCTCTGTCCTCAGAGTGGACAGGAATAATTACCTCAGCAGGAAGGAGCGAGGGAGAGACCCTCTTCATATTAAAGTGTCTCTCGTGACATAAATTCTGAGGGAACATTCTGAGTCACTGTAAAGAAAACTTCTGAAATTGAACATTCTCCATTTTAAAGTGAAAGCCATCTAGAATTACGAATTAAGTGATATGCTAACCAAACCTAGAAAATAAATATTCCATCTGAGCCAATTTAGGCCGGGCCTATAAGGACACAAAAATGGGCAGAAAACATTTTACAAAAGGTGCAGAAATTTTTTTGCACAAATTGGAAACGGTGATTCATAACAAAATTGCCATTTCTCTTGGGACCATGGGTATTTACGGATCATTTAGACCCCTCTGAGCAAACTGTTGGCCAGTGAAGGTCCCTCTGTGGTGAGTGTGTCCCTCCACATGAGTTACTTTTCAGCAAGTAGATTATCTCCTTGTCTTTGCTCCACAGGCACTGCCCGGACTCCAGGCGGACCTTTACGAAGCGGTTGATGCTAGAGAAACACATCCAGCTCATGCACGGCATTAAGGACCCTGACCTGAAAGAAATGACGGAAGCCGCCAACGAGGAGGAAACAGAAATAAAAGAAGATGCCAAGGTCAGACATTGCAGATGTTCTCTTTACCGTGAAACGGTGCCGCTGGCTTGCTTTTTCCCATTCATTGCTTTACATTTTTCGACAGTGACACAATTTTAAAACTTCAGACTATGGATATAGGTGTAAAATGGTAGGTAATCGCCCTCTACCCCTATTCTGACCTTTCTTCTTGCTCCTAAAAGGTGACCTTTATTAAGTGTCTCCTGTGCCCTTCCAGAACTAGCTTTAGGGATGGGCTCCCATAAGTAAATTTAAGAATGTGAGGTTGACTCACAGAAATTTCCTCTTAGCCAGAAGGGATGTATAAAGTTAGATTCTTCTTCACTGGCAACATATTGTTTGTGATAGGGTCCTAAAAAAAAGCGTGGTTCCTTTTAGCTTCTCTTTGTAACGATGAAAGATAAAATGACTTGTTTGTGCCTTATTCTTACATCAGTGGATAATGAACTTGGATCAGATAACACTATCCATTAACCCATGTACAAGGCACGTGTGTGCCAGTGCTCTTAGAGGAAACAGTTCAGCAGACACTCATGAGGTCCTGCTGTCTGCACTGGACTGCGCCTGGAACGCACCTGGGTAAAGCATGCGTGTGCTTTCAAGGAGTTGATCGCTGAGTAACCCAATCAGAATCCAAGTCGGACTAGTGTCCCATTGGATTGTAATTCCTTCCCGTAAGTGGTGGGGTGGGAATCAGACGATACAGGTGGAGAGGCAGCTTGAGGTCAAGGTATAGGACAGGGGCCCTGTGAACAGGGCAGAGCAGACAGACCGTGGAGTAGGAAGGAGGGTGTGTCCCTTTGGCTTGGATTTTTGGGGAGCGGGAAATGAGAGGATTTGATGTGGGTTGGAGCTAGAAAGCTGGAAAGGAAGGAGCAAGGCCTGGCCGGGGTGGGGGAAGGCGTGTGACGGAGGCGAACAGGCAGGGAAGGGCAGGTACTGGACCAGCTGGGTCTTCCAGCGGCTCTCCATCTCGGTCACAGAAAAGGCAAAACTCCTGGCATTTTCTCGCCTGCTTTTCAGTCCCCCCACCCCTGCCTCTCCCTGGCCTCATCCACCGGCCTTTCCGCTCTCCCCCAAGCCCTGAGGCTAGGGCTAAGGCCTTTGCATCCACAGCGCCCTGTGTCTGGGCCCTTTCTCCCATGTGGCCGCCTGGCTCATGTCCTCCTGCCACAGGCCTCTGTTCAGATGCCACTACCACGCGATATGTGACCTAACAACCCCACCGTCCCCTCGTCTTCGCATCTCCTGCTTTGTTTCCCTGTGTGTGACACACTGTAGAGTGCCTCCTTGGCTGCTGCCTGTCAGCGCACCATTGGCACCTGTGTTCCATGAAGGCGGGGACTTGTTTGTCCTTTGCTGGGCCCGTGGGCCAGCATGGATGCCTGGTGACACAGGAACTCAGCCATATGTGTGGAGTGGATGAAAGGCGTGAGCCTCAGGTGGGGTGGCGGACACGCTGCTGTAAGAAAAACCCCAATCCCGAAGCTCACAGTACATGTTTTCCCACAGCTCTAGAGTCCAAGAGAGCTGGTCATTTATCACCCATAGAACAGAACGGCTTTCAATTGTATGTTTTTTTCCTCAAAGGTTCCCAGTCCCAAGCGGAAGTTGGAAGAACCAGTTTTAGAGTTCAGACCTCCCAGGGGAGCAATTACTCAACCACTGAAAAAGCTAAAGATAAATGTGTTTAAGGTTCACAAATGTGCCGTGTGCGGCTTCACCACCGAAAACCTGCTGCAGTTCCACGAACACATCCCTCAGCACAAATCAGACGGCTCCTCCTACCAGTGCCGGGAGTGTGGCCTGTGCTACACGTCGCACGTCTCCCTGTCCAGGCACCTCTTCATCGTGCACAAGCTGAAGGAGCCTCAGCCCGTGTCCAAGCAGAACGGGGCGGGGGAGGAGAACCAGCAGGACAACAAGCCCAGCCACGAGGACGAGGCGGCCGACGGCGCGGTGTCCGACCGAAAGTGCAAAGTGTGCGCAAAAACGTTCGAAACAGAAGCTGCCTTAAACGCTCACATGCGGACACACGGCATGGCCTTCATCAAATCCAAAAGAGTGAGTTCAGCTGAGAAATAGCCACACACCTTCCATCAGGAACATCCCTGTCCACAGTGGAATAAGAAAGACATTTTTGTTACCGAAAGTTTGCAGTATCACAGAGTTGACAGTACTCTCTAGGCTGTTGCAATATATTCCCGTTCAGCGTACCTTCTTCACCTCGTTGCGTATATCCTCGATAAGTATGAAAGCAGTATTTGAGTTTAAAAGAGTTTGTATATATTTAAAGGAATAACTTTTTATACTCTTTGTTACATGTTTGTATCAGTATTTAGTAGAAAATGTTTTGAGTTTGTTTTTCCTTTTTTTTTTTTTTTGGTTACAAGTTTTTCTTTTTGTATCGTTTCTTTAAAACAGAGTTCTTAGTAACAGGGGCAGTTCCTGAATTCAAATAAACCATTTTGTATGTTATGGATTTAAAAGGGTTAACTAATTCCAGGCGAAGATAATGCCTTTTTTAGTGTTTTTAATTTTTAGAATTCACTACATAACTTGTAGGTGATTGTGGGTCTCAAAACACTAGGGCCTTTAAGTGTCTTTGCGCCACCCTCAATGTGCCTGCTCTGAGTCCGGGTGTGTCCTGCAGACACCTGCACCCTGGCACCAGTGGCACCCGCCCCAGGCCATGCCAGCTGGTGTCTAAAGCGGCCTTGCAGGGGGTGAATACAAACTTAGGCCAGAATTACGGTGAGGAACGTGGATTTCCTTCACTCCATCTGAGAATGGGGCAGAGGGATATTCTAAAGGTAAAAATGGCGGCCGGTGGTTTTCTGGTCAAATTTGCAAGGCTGGCTTTGAAGAGCACAAGGAGATAACGTTCACGAAAGGGCTGGACTACTGTAAAAGTTACAAATACATGGTTAGACCAATAGATTTATATAGTCAAACTTTTGTCATGTAACTTATTAACTATAAAGACAACAACTAAAGATACCAAGTATTTCTCTGGCTCTTGACAGGAAGACAAACATCACGGTTGACTTAACCCTTTGCTGTCTAAAGAGTTGGCGTTTCTTGTTCTGGGTGCTACTGCCAAATGTTCTGGTACTTAGAGTTGAGATGCACAACTTCACCCTCCAACTTATCAATGCAGCAGCCTGCACTGGCAGCTGGCCGTTAGATTCCGTACTGAGCCACCCAGGGTTAGTTCGGTCGTTTCCATAAGTATATTTACTATCGGTAGTTATTGAAGTGTCCCTTCCGTTTATAGTTCTCTGGGAGAGTTCTATTTTTTTGTTTTTTTGTTTTGTGTTTTCTTTGGCATTTTATATCTTGTATTTATCCCTACACATGTTTTGTACTTTTTTTTTTTTTTTAAGAAAAAATCTTTTGTGTATATATAGATACTTGCATGGTATACTGTAGTCAACGTTCGGTTCCTCAAAAGGTCTTGCTGCTGTCAGGTGTAATGCACTACATCCATCATAACTGTATTAAACACATTTCGTATGTAAATAAACGTGGGACATTTGGCCCTTGTGCTTCTGTGAGAGCGTTATTGATGGTGGGACTGTGACATCTTCATGACATTTAGGAAGTGATTAATTGCAGGGACAGACTACAGGATATCGCAGAATGCGTCCCACTCTGAAGAATGGCACATTTGTTCTCATTAGCAATCAGCTGTTTTGTCACTTCCTTGTTGACACCATCAGGACATCGGTGTGATCCCAGGGCATGATTAAAGTATTCCTCAACTCGACATTCAATTGCTGTTACTTGTTCTATTTATACTTGTATTGCTCTAACTTGTATTCATAGCATTTTCATATGTTTCTGCATTTGAACCTTGCAATAAACCTGTGTGGTGGGCTGCGCAGGTCTTACTAGCCTAGTTTTACAGTTGAGGAAGCTGAGCTCAGATTAAATTCTTTGCCTAAGCCCTCATAGCTGGTAAGTGGCTTTGCGTATGAGAACCCAGATATTCTTGCTCTAAATCTAGTGCTCGCTCTATGTGTTTATGTACATATGGACAAATACTTATTCAACAAATAAAAAGTATGTGCAAAACACGATACTAGAATTTTTGTTTGTGGCACTATGGATTTTATAAGATAACCTGGAAGTCTGTCTACTCTTAAATACTCAGAAATGTTTGGTAAGATGAAATTAGCATCTATTAAATGCCTAGTTGAGTCTCCAAGAAAGTTTTTAAAAACACCCAGAGGTACGAAGGGCCAGCCGAGTGGCACGATGGTTAAGAACTGGCTTGGGATGCCAGAATGCCCCGGTTTGGATCCCACATATGAGGGCCAGTGACACTGCCCTCTACAGCTAAGATGCTGAACAGCAGCTCAACCTGGAGCTGGGCTGCCGTGAGTTGCTGGCATCTGCAGGTGGGTTATCATGGGCTACCGTGAGCGGCCAGCAGCCGCTATGAGCGGTCGTCCAGAAGCCAGCGACTGATCTGCCTCACCCAGGAAGAGCCCAATGATGGTGCCAATTTGGGCCAGTGAAGCAACATCCTCCACAACTAGACTGAAGAACAAAAGGACAGCAACTTTGTCTGTTCCCCTTCCCCCAATTCCTCAATAAAAATCTTTAAAAAAAACAAACAAAAAAAAACCCCAGAGGTACAAAATGAAAAAGAAACTGAAACCCACAGTAGAAAAACAGCACACGATGCTGTAGTCCTGGCAGGAAGGCTGGGTGGCTCAACCGAAGAGAGAATTGGTGAACCAGAAGACAGATTGTGAAGCAGTTACCTGGAACACAGCACAGAGACAAGGAGATCAAATATGTGAAAGAGATTAGAAGTTAAGGACAAAATGAGAAGATCTAACAGGTTTAATAGGAGTTCCAGAAAGAGGGAATAGAGCTGAAGAGGGCCTTGCGGAAAATTCTTAGCCACAAAAGATGTCAGTGCTGCTTTGGTCAAGTGTGAATGATGAGCAAAAATCCACACTGGGACTTGGGCCGTCTACCCGTTCTTCACTAGTTGTAGAGGCTGGGTGTGGGTGTCGGTGTGGGCATTTGAGGAACAGGACAGAAAGCGGGGGACATGCTCCATGAATTCTTAGAAAGCCCATTCCCTCTGTTTGGTGGGGAAGTGGTTGCTGAGGCTGACAGGCTAGGCTTAGGTCAATTTGCAAAAAGCAAATTGAATGGTGGACTAAGGAGCTTGTGCTTTGATAGAAGCTTCTTTGGACAGGAGAGTGACATAACCAGATTAATTGGTGACTGTTTAGGATGGATGGTGGGAGAGTATCAACTGGAATAAATTAGGTTATGCTATGGTTACAGTCCTACATCTTAATGGCTTATAACAATGAGACTTATTTCTTGCTCACGTTTTTTGCCCATTGTGGGCTGACTGGAGACCTTGCTCCAAATCTTGTTCCCTTATCCGACTGTCACAGAAGTGGCTGGTTACTGTGGCAGAGGGAAAGGGCAATTAATTGCTCTGGCCCAGAAGTGGCAGATGTCATCTTTCACAACTCATTGATGAAAACCAGTCACGTGGTCCCACCTAATTACAAGGAGGCCAGGACGTTCAGTCCTACTGTGTGTCCAGAAGGCAGAAGGCTGAAAATACTCGAACAGCATAAATGACCATTACAGGAAAAAAAGTTGAAATCAGTGTAGCTATGGTGCTAACACACATGGGCGTGAGGACTCGGCTTGGGTGCTGGGAGTAGGCTTGGAAAGAGGCTGCAGTTGTAGGTAGCCTTTCAGAAGTCGTGTCAGGAGGATATCGTGCTGTGGGATACAGAGAAAGCGGAAGTCTGATTGGAAGTTCAAACTTAGGTGATTATTAAACAGACTGTTTTTTCAAGTTTCCATTACTTAGATAGAAACATGAAGTCAAATAGCTAGTTATGGGGAAGCCAGCGCTTTAGATATATACATATAAGATGTTTTTGTTTGTGGTTGGGTGATTTTATTTCATCAATAATTGAGGACTAATGATGCATAATGAAGAATGCCAGCAAGGTGATACAAACTTATAAAACGAGAAACAGGGAAACATAGTCTTAGAGTACATGGCATCAGCCACTTCTTCCTCCCAGGTGCATTTTTTTTACAAATTCCTCACTCCTACTTCACTATTCTAAAGAACTGTCTCACCCAAAGTTTGGTGGGCACTTCTCCCCAGGGTCAGTGGGCTTAGAGATTCCATCCCAGGATCTTTGACCAACAGGGAAATTTCCTCTTGAAAACTTTGGCCAAGATTAAGGTATTATTTCATGTTAACATATTCATCATGCTGTGAGTACTTTTGTAAATGCCTACTTGGAAAATGAAAAGAGGAAAACGTGTTTGGAGCGCTTCATAGAATAAAATATGACCTAAAAGAACCAACCATTCATCCATCCCAAAGAAGGGTCTGAAAAGAGAGGGATAAATGTGGAATGCTATCTATGCCATTTAGTTACACACACACACACACACACACACACACACACACACACACACACACACACACACACACACACACTCACTGTAAGGATTCCAGGCTGTAGCTCTTAATTTTAAAGGACACATCTTCTAAATAAGGAACCCAGCTTTAGTTCCCTTAAAAAGTGGACTCCTACTTGTGCACAATTCATTCTTTGTTTAAATGGATGCTTGAAGCTTCTTGTTTACTTCGAGCTTCCTTTTGAAATTATGACTCTCACATCCCCCAAGAGTTAACCACAAACCTTTGGGATATGGCAGTGTGGTGAACTTAGGTCTCTGCAAAGAGCCACTCTTTCAGCTACTAGAAGATTCAGAACGAGCTAGTTGTTATTCTGTAGTCACCACTCCCCCAAACCACTTATTCTGGGTAGCCCAGCCTCAGTCCACATTGGAGACTTGGCTACTGTCCGTCTCCCTATGAAAGATAACACTCTCCTGTCACATCCGTTTTCCCCTCCCTACTATCCCAATAGATTTTTGGTGAACATGTTAGTAAAGGCCCAGTTCATTGAATGATGGAACTCTCATCATCTCAGCCTATATGTTTCTGGGAGTTTGCTCATTCACATTTGCTGGAAAGGTAGATCTGGGGCTGCCCAGCATTACATCCTGTATGAATTAGGGTCTTAGCAGGACACAAATAGCACACCAGAAAAGGTGTAAAGACATTAAGGAGGGGACTCCAGAGAGAACTATGGTTTGGAACGAGGGAAGTAGAGACACCCAGGGACTAGCAATGATGGGGAGCCGCTGTCACCTGCTGAGCAGGGGCAGAGCTGGAGCCGTAGAATAGGGACCTGTCATTAAGAGCCAGAGCTGCGGTGAAGCAGGGGAGTGTGGGAGGAAAATGACAGGGGAGCTGTCTCCTCACGCTCAAAAGTTTCCACCCGCACCTCCCACTGGCCAAAGCTAACTGAGAGCTAGAGATCAAGGAAGCCCCAGGAACAGCCTTTAACGTCAGCGAGTGGGCCGCTGAGCAGGACAGAGGGCTGTGTGAGGCGTCGGGGGTACCCGGCGAGAGACACTGTAACGATGACAGACACCTAGCACGCGCTTTCAGAAGTGCCTGCTCCATAGTGATCATGTCACCATGCATCTTACCCGCTATAGGCAGGCTGTGAGCTGGGACAGGGTACTCTGCATTCCGTAGTTCCCTTTCCTTTCTAATTACCTCACCAGGTTTATCCTGGAATTATACCCTTCCCTTAGGGGCTATTTTTACTTAAGGAAACAGAATAGCATTTCCCAGAAAATACCCTTTGCTCGTTTCTAAATTCAGTCTGTGAGGCTAGTTCTGACTCCAAGCAGCACGATTTATAATGTCTCGCACCATTTAAAGGAACTGATTATTCAATTTGCTTTGCTATTATTATGGCAAGCTGCTTATTCTGGAGCTTTCCTTCTAGTTACAGTTGTAAATTACACTACCACTGACAGGTCTGTTTCTCCAACACAGTCTTTTGCAAGAAGACATTTTAATCCAGGGGAGCGCTACAGAGCGCACCATGTCACACCTCCAACTCAGTTCCAGAAAGTGTGTGGTTAGCTCAAGGGTAATTTTATTTTCTTTTTAAAGATTTTATTGAGGAATTGGGGAAGGGGAATAGCCAAGTTGTCCTTCAGTCTTAGTTGTGGAGGGCGCAGCTAGCTCAGCTCCAAGTCCGGTTGCCATCCGGCCGCCCATCGGCAGCTCGCGGCTGGTCACTCAGCTCAAGGTGCAGTGTTGAATCTTAGTTGCAGGTGGGCATAGCCCACCATCCCATGTGGGAGTCAAACCGGCAACTTTGTTGTTAGGAGCACGTGCTCTCACCAGCTGAGCCATCCTGCCAGCTATTGGCAGCTCAGCAGCAGCTGAGCTTGGGTGAAGCTCACTGGCCCATGTGGGAATCAAACCAAATGACCCTGTTGGTCAGAACTCACGCTCTTAACCAACTGAGCCTCTTGGCCAGCCCTCAAGGGTAGTTTTCTGACCTTTAGGTCTAGTCAAGTTTAATTGGATTTGGTTATTCCTGGAGAATAAACACCACTTCTGTGATGAAAAGGAACAAGGAGGCATAGATCTGATTGGAGAGGATGGTGTGATGTTGACAAGAGTTGAGAAGCAGAGCTGCGTATGTCAACGGGAAGGTCCCTCTCTTGGAAAGGGTAGAAGATATATCTCTAAGTAGAGGTAATGGACGTGTTTCTTGATTTTGTCAGTTCAGCATCTGATCCCCTTCCAGGGTTTGGGACTCGACCACTGTATGACTCTAGGCCAGAGATGAATCTTGCCTCCTGCTTTGGAAACCGAAGGTCACTCTCCCTGACCCCTCGCAGCCTGTCAGGCATGGGATGACCCGTACTTGGCCAAACAATGCTGCTGCTTTAACTCTCCAGCAGATGATACAAAGACACAGGGACAGATTCAATTTATTCATTCTGGTGGCATGGTGGCAATGATCGTGGTGACTGCAGATAGAGAGTGACCTTGTGAATCACACTTGCTGGTCAGGGAAAGGGAGGGACCAAGATGTGAACGGGAAGAACGTGGACATTCCGCAGCCTCTGCCCCCTGGGGAATCGGTCTGCCTTCAGAGAACAGCTGGGCCGCCTTGGACCCTGGGAGTGTCGACGCCATGGTGGACTGTTTCAAAGCTTAGACTCTTGCTTGCCTCTGAATAAGACACCGTCCAAACATGACAACATCAGTTATTTTCGAAGAGACTTACCAAGATAAATGGAAGTGCATACCTTTCAAATAGCTGTGAGACCCCAATCAGACCTTCCGTTTCCTACATCCTGTCACCTCACCAACCTCATCTTCTACCGTTTCTTCTTGACCGTTCCTTTAATACACTGTTCACATTCCCTTCACAGGACCTGGCACTTGTCTGTCCTTCCGGTGCTATTCCCACGGAGGCCTTTTCACTTCTTCCAGGTTGGCTCAGAAGTCACCTGCTCAGAGAGCCTTTCTGGGTTACCTTGCTGACAGGTGCCCGCCCCCTCCCTCAGCACACACCTACCTCATCACTCTCCATTTCTTTACCCTGCATGATTTTTCTCCCCAGCACTTATCACTCCTGACATTTTATGCGGATTTGCTAATGGTCTGCCACCCCCTGGATAAATGTCCTGAGTGGTCCCACGAACTCAGCCTGCTTTCTAATCTGCGGGTCGCCATTTCCTCTGGTTGCATGAAGCGTTTTTCATCTTGCAACCTGAGAGGAGCCGCTATTAGTTGCAATTTTCCTGTCAGGTTGATCCTTTTTCTTGTCAGCAAAGACAAATCCTTGTTTTCTCAAATTCATTGCCGAATGATGAGAGGCCTAATGCCCTTTCCTTTTCCATAGAGCTAGTTACTTGACTAAAATGACGGTGGCGTTAATAATAGCGTCAGCAAGCTGACGGCTGCTGCCTCAGGAGATGATAAAGGCCTGCTTTCAGGAAAGGTAGGCATTATTTATTTTCATGTTCTATTTTTACGCCTCGCACATCGCCTTGCATAAAACAGGGACTTCAAATGTCTTCGTAAAACAACCGAGTCTCCTTGAAGTTGGTTAGTCATAATTTTGTTTCTTAGGACTGGGGACAAACATTAAACATTAGAAGGGTCTCGAGCTATGAGTTTCCCAAAATTAAGATTTTCTTTTTTCCTTTTTATTTAGGTGGTATTTAAAAAGCATCTAAGTGGTCTTTATTACTAGTTATTAACATGTGGGGGTGTGTTCTGCTCATGATCTTTTTTTTCCCTCCTGTTTGACAAAAGACGGAGCATTTAACACTGAATTCTAAAAGCATTTTCATATTTTCTATGACTACACTATAGCAACAGCTGACTTGGAAATAAATCCAAGTTTTAGAGATTTTTCTGTTTAATTACCCAGAAGAGGGCCTGCAGCAGAACCATGCTGGAGCCTTGATCTTAGACTTCCAGCTTCCAGAAGCATGAGACGTAAATTTCTGTTGTTTATAAGCCACCCGGTCTGTGGTATTTTGCTCCAGCAGCCCCAGCAGACTCACACAAAGGTTTGGGATGCTAGGGGCCACAGTGAAGCCAGGGAGACACAGGAAGGCCAACCACGTCCCACAAGAGCGGACTTGTCCCCACAGTGTGAACAAGGCTTGCATCACATTTTAAATGTACCAGTAGTTAGGGAGGTTGCTATTTAAAGAAAGCCTTTCTGGAAAGAAAATATTTATACGCCGAGAAATCCAGACCCACACAGTTTCTGTTTTCTTAAAGCAGACGAACACGGTGCCCGTCTTGTGTCAGCATCATTTCCTTCCTGGGATGTGTGTTCTAAGCCCCGCGGGATGACGCGTGTCCTTATTTGTCCCATTGCAACATGGCTCCTTCCGTGGGGGAGTTTATCACTCCCACGCCTCTGTCTCTTTCAAGTCCAGCAAACACGTGGACAGATGCATGAAATATCCAGATGATCACAGAGAAGCCTTTCTTTATTCATCACTTATCCAAATGTTTTATAGGTTGGATTCATAATCGTTCTGGGGAAAAACCCAACATTGCCACTTAACATCCTTGGTATATTTTTGAAACCCAGTGATATACGCAAGACCGGCTAATGAGAGAAAAATATAGCATCATCCATATTAATCTGCATAACTAAAGGAAGCCAGGTGGTCAGCAGCCCCCACATCCACAGCAGATTTTACTCAACAATAACAAGTTGTGTGTAAATCGGTTTCCATGGTTTGTTTATCTCTGCCGCTTTGCAGGTGGCTGAGGAGACACAGCTTGTCTCTGCATATTAAGGAGCAAGCAATGTCACATTTTCCCCCCAACATATTGTAGGCTAGTGTTTCATAAATATAAGGCTCTTTGTCTAAGAGGAGGGTTTTTTTTTCTGACAAGTTAAGCGACAATGATGGTCCTGACTTTACTATTTTGTCTGCTTTCTTTTCAGTTTCAATTACCTTTTGCTTTTCCTGCAAGAAACATTTCTCTCAAATGCATGCAAGACACTGATGAATTCCTTTCTGATCTGAATTCGGTGGAGCCCAAAGAATACGCTCTAAGAAGTAAGTTGGTTCCCCTGGCCCGTTGGGTAGGTGAATACAGGGCAGCCTGAGGTTCGGGCTGGAGCATTCTAGAAAAAACTCTTGAGAATTGAAAACACAAAACTACATAGTGAGGACACAATGAGCCTCAATTTACAAATTGCTCTAGGCACCAAGAAGGGAGGAGGAATTTTTCTTGCGGAAGACAATAGAGGAAGTGATATCAATTCTACCCAGAAGGAATTTCATGAGGACCAACCTCTTAATAAGATGAGAATGATTTATAAATTGCATGATGCTGTTGACTCTTGCTGGAGTTGATAACATTTCACTTCGTATGACATAGCTTGCGTTATTTCATTTTCTAGACATCTAGGCTGCTTTTGTGAATAGGTTGCTTTGTTATTCAGGAAATGAATTGTGCCCATTATATGTTTGATAGTAAATTCTGAGGAGTGTTGGTGAGTGGGCTGGCTCAGACCGGAAGTTACCGGACCTCCTAGTATGTGATATAGATGGATGTCAGGTCACCATATTTATTTTTTATTAGTTTCCAAAAATTACTCTTACAACTAAAGGGACACATACCATCCTGCTAGAAATGGGTAGGAAACCAGATTCGTTTTCAGTGGGGTAACTTCTCTGGGTGAATGATTCATTGTGGATGCTGATGGAAAGAAACCACTAACAAGAAAAATGTAAAAACTCACTCTTTCCAAAGCCAGAAAAACTATCAGAACAATCTCCACTTCCATTGTGAACACACTTATTTTGTATTGGAAAAGACTCAGCAGCATAATATACATCGTATAGATAAACAAAAGTTTTGGTCTAATATTGGGTAATTCAAAATAGCACCTGGTTTGAAGCAGTTGCCATTCTGAACTAGATTAGATGTCTCGATGTTTAATGAAACAGTGGGAAAGATAAATCCGACTCCCTTCAGTAGCCGTTTTCAAGTGCCATGTTGGATTAGATCTTGTTTTGCTGCAACACTTGGTGATATTGACAGGGAGCTTTCTGACAACCCCAGGCCAAGTAAGCCGGCCAAGAAAACCCAGAAGGTACAATGCCTGGCTCAGATGCCTGGTGATGAGGTGGTGGCACATATTATCATCACTAGTTACAGCCTTATTAACATTTTATTTGCCTTAAAAGTTTCTCTAGTTATGCCTGAAAATTGAAAATACTTTTAAAAGTAATTTTTATTTACTTTAAAAAAGTTAATATTTTACTTTTTTATTTAAAAAACTTTCCCCAAGATAAATGATCCGAGGCAGAATTGAATGGCTTACATAAATGGGATAGATGACAATTGCTTAATTTAATAGATGAACACTACTATCTCTAGTTGTTTTAACTGATTTTCATTGTGACGCACCAGAACACACTGGGCACTATTTTTTTTTAAAGATTTTATTGGGGAACTGGGGAAGGGGAACAGTGTTGGAGAATTGGAGAAGGGGAGCAGCCAAGTTGTTGTCCTTCAATCTTAGTTGTGGAGGACGCAGCTAGCTCAGCTCCAAGTCCAGTCGCCATCCGGCCGCCTGTCGACAGCTCAGGGCAGCTCAACTCAAGGTGCTGTGTTCAATCTTAGCTGTGAGTGGGCATAGCCCACCATCCCATGTGGATGTCAAACCAGAAACCTTGTTGTTAGGAGCACGTGCTCTTACCAGCTGAGCCATCCTGCCACCTGTTGGCAGCTCAGCGGTAGCTGAGCTCAGGCGCAGCTCACTGGCCCATGTGGGAATCGAACTGGTGACCCTGTTGCTCAGAGCTCATGCTCTTAACCAACTAAGCCACTCGACCAGCCCATGGGCATTCTTTTTTTTTTTTTAAAGATTTTATTGGGGGAATTGGGGGAGGGGAACAGCGTTGGGGAATTGGGAAAGGGGAACAGACTAGTTGCTGTCCTTTGGTTCTTCAGTCTAGTTGTGGAGGACGCCGCTTCACTGGCCCATGCTGGTATTATCATTGCGCTCTTCCTGGCTGAGGCAGTCGTTTGCTGGCCGTTGGACGACCGCTCACGCCGGCTGCCGGCCGCTCACGCTGGCTGCCAGCCACTCACGGTAGCTCATGGCAACCCACTGCAGCCCTGCTGCAGCTTACGCTATCGCCGGCGAGTCACAGAAGCCCAGCTCCAGGTCGAGCTGTTGTTCACCATCTTAGCTGTAGAGGGCAGTGTCACTGGCCCCCATGTGGGATCCGAACTGGTGGCCCTGCTGCTCAGAGCTCGTGCTCCCAAGCCAACTCTTAACCAACTGAGCCACTCGACCGGCCCCCATGGGCGTTCTTGCTTTGACATTTTGCCTGAGATTTCTGAGCCCAGTGCATGGCTCTGACCGTCGTTCTCAGCCGGACAGCCATGTGGATGGAAAAATAATAAGAGTCAATATTTAGAGAGGACTTTCTCATGGCGGGCACCATTCCCAGCCCTGTTCAGGAGTTGTTTCATTTAGCTCCCCATGAGGAGGGTGTTTTTAATCATCTCCACTTCATAAATGAGAAAACGAAGCCACAGAGATGTAAAGTATTTTGCGTGAAATAAGGGGCAGAGATAGGACTTGAGCCCAGGTCATCTGGTTCCCAAGCCTGTCCTTTCAATCATGGCTTAAAATAAGCCACAAGAGAAGCAAGGAAAAAATATAAAACCATAAGCAAAAAAAGGAGCGAAGCAGAGCTCCATGTATTTATATGGAGGGAATACTCTGAAATACATAAAAAAAGTTGTAGGATAATATATACAGTATGTAAAGTTCTTTTTCAAAATGCAAATGAAGGTGCTTTATTGTGTAGGGAGCCGTGTTTGCCTTACAAACATAAAGGAATCACCTGAGAATGGCAATCTCCAAATTCAGTTAGAGGTTGCCTCGGAGCGGGGGCTGGTTAGGGTGAGGATGCAGCTTGGGACACATCAGATTTCAAATGATGGGTCAAACTTTATTTTTTAAGCTGGGCCACGGGAACATAGGGTGTTTCGTATTTTCTTCTTTATGCCCTTTTAATATATTAAATATTGCATAATAATGTTTGTAAACTCCATCCCCAATCCAAAGCACAGAGATGATAATAAGCTGGATCTCTGATAATGGGTGGGGGTCTTAGGAACAAGGTGGAGAGAGAGGGTCCTTGAAATTCCAGCAGAGATGCTCGGTCTTGCAGAAAGGAACAGGAGAGAGACTGGTACGGAGCCTGACACAGGAGGGTCTCAGTCTGGCAGTGGGGAGGATGGATCGAAGGTTGTAGATGTTATAGGAAAGAAGATAGTAATATAACGCCAGAGTGAGGTTGCGTTTCTCCCTTTCCACCATCCTCCTCCATTTGCTTTCTAACAGACACGCATGCAACGTCTTAAAGGGAACAAAATCCACCATTTTTGCGTGCTTTGATTTTGCCCTCTTCTTGGGTCACTGTCTGATTTTGACCCCTTTCTCACTGCCGAAGTCCTCAGGGCCAGTAGTCTGGCCCCTCTGCTTCCAGTTTTGTTCGTAAACTCCATAATCCACAGAAATCTACTTGTAAGCTCTTACCACATATGAAAATGGCACTGTAAAAGATTTCTGGCACCCTCCCTCCTGATTCATCATGTTTTCTCAATTTTCTTTCTCCCTAACCACTATGGTCTTAACTGCCCATCTCCTTCAAATTCATCTGTTTCTAATTCAGGGACAGTCCCCTGTCTGGGAAGTCCCTCCCCACGGAGACTCCGTCTTCGCTGTCCTCCCCTTTCTCCCTCTACTGGATGCCCTCCACCTTCCCCGGGCATTTTGTTCTTTGCTTCCTCCTACTTTTCTTGTACACCAACCACATTTTAGACACTCGGTGCTACTGAGCCGTAGAACTGGTGCTAGGCCTGTGGTCCTGACCTACGTGTGCTCTCGTCCTGGTGAGGCCGATAACCAGCTGTGTGGTTGGCCTCACCCGAGCCATGTTCACGTTGCTAATCAAGTTTCCTCAGCTGTGACATCAGAGGCCATTGTTTCTCAAACTGAAAATCTGCAGCAGTTTAAAAAAAAATTCCAGTGCTTCCTCCTTTTAGCCTTTAGTTCTGGAAAAATGATTTCATGTCTCTTCTGAATATCTTGTCTCGTCCCTTCTTTTCCCTCAAGAAGGGCTCCTCTAAACCATAAGACTTGTGGTTTATGCCCTTTTAGGTAGGCACTTGGTATATAGGTATATAATTTAAAGAGTGGATGAGCAGAACATGGAGTAGAAACTCTACTGAAAGAAGACACTGAAGCCATACGACATTTCTTTGGTTCTATTAGCCATCTGGTTGGTCTTTATTTCCACAGGTCGTTGGCCATGACCCACTGCGTTCTCTGACTTTGACCATTCAGGGATCTCTCCAGAAACTTGTCATACCTTCCCCGAGCCCACAGCGGCGTCTTCTCTCCAGGTCAGGGTTTCCGCAACCACACCTCACAAGCTAATTAGTAGCATCCTAGAATACCCACTAGGGGAGTGTTATGGGTTGAACTGTATCCTCCAAACAGATACATTGAATCCCTAACCCCTGTTACCTTGGATGTGATCTTTTTAGGAAATCAGGTCTTTGGAGACATGCCAAATTAAGATGAGGTCATACTGGATTAAGGAGTGCCCTAATCCAATGACTGGTGTCCTTCTAAGAGGGAAATAGAGACACACATGAATGCCATATAATGACAGAGGCAGAGATTGGAGTGATGCATCTATAAGTCAAGGAAAGCCAGGATTGTCAGCCACCAGCAGAAGTTAGGAGAGAGGCCTGGACCAGAGTCTGCCTCAGAGCCTCCAGTAGGAACCAATCCTGCCGACTCCTTGATTTTGGGTTTCTGGTCTCCAGAACTGTGGGTCAATACGTTTCTGTTGTTGTAAGCCACCCAGTTTGTGGAAATATGTTAACGCAGTCTCAGGAAAGAGAGAGCTATGGCCTCTCAAACACACCCTCTAGAGTAAAACAGCATGCATTTATTTTCTGAGATGAAAACAAGAAAACAAAACCATCAGTCTCAGCTCCTGGAATTCATTTTTCTTGA